TTTCATGTAAGATGCAGAGCTTGTCTCCTAAAGGGTGCTCTTATCTTTCTCTTGCCAGACTGCAGGGCCTTGCACTGTTACGATCCTTTCCAGGGTGCCTTTCTGTTGCTAGGTCTATACTGATCTACTTCACCATAGAATTCTGGATTAATCTGGCCAAATTTAGAGGCTGGCAATTTACTCTTGTTACACAGTACTGACATTGTTTTCGCTCTTGACTCTAATTATTTTAAGATTTTAAACAAAAAATAGCACTAATATTTCAAATATTTAATAAGTATTTATAAATAAATACCTCCGATTCAGCATTGTCAATTGGCAGTTCTTTTCTTCTAGAAAGAGAAGAAATCCTATATTCTGAGCCCAAAATTGGGATCTTATTAAATAACTTTATGAACAGATGAAGGTAAAGACATGCACTAGCAAGAAAAAGAATTGCTTTTTAAAATGATAAGTACTTTTCTTACATGAAAAGAGGGTTTCGTATTCAGTTAGGCAATTGTTAGCACAATGTCACTGGGACATTTTGTGTAGCATTTTAGAAAGAGCATAGTATTGAGTGCTCCACTTCATGTCCCCGAAAATGTGAAACTAAGGTATTATATATTTCCTTTTCACTGCACCCAAACAGGAGTGAGCTGTATATATGTTCAAGGTAATGGGACAATGCTTCCTGCCTTCAGGGAACATTGTAATCTGAGAGCTATTAAGATTTGGCATGTGGAAGATTTAGCCTTCTTTTACTAATAAGCTTGACCTTTATTTTTCAATATTCTTGACTGTCCTTGGATAGATATCTTCTGCCCTGCCCCCCAGTCACCAGTTCAACCTTTTTCTGCAACTTCAGCGTCCTACACCTGGGTTAATAGAGAATTCTTATTAAGAGTTTTCTAGTCACCYTTTAAATACATTAAAGTTTGTCTAATGGTGGCGTTAATTTTAAATTAAAACAATACAGAGCTTTCAATAGTTTTCAGCACATAGTTTTCAATACATAACCCTAATAAGATCTTTTGAAAGCATATTGGTAAAATAAGTATTCAGTCATTTCAGCAAAATAAGAAAGAAATTTATTTTCTTCTGGATGTTTTTTCATCTTTTTTCCCTACTCCTTTTAAAATTGCTGGTCTGTAAAAGTGCCAAAGTATTTCCCTATCTGTCTTAGTGGCTACTAGGCAGGGACCTGTTCAGTCTATGGTAGGCGATATTTTGTAGTTTGTTATTTGGTATTTGTCTTCTACTTTTCTGGAGTTCTGTTCTTGTAGAATAGTGACTTAGTGAAACAGAGGTAGGACCTCTGTTCTGTATTTTCTTGTGGTATAGCAAGCCAGTTAGCAATTCTTAAATTTCAGAGCCTCGTTCTCACTGTTAAGTGGCTGTGAAACAGGTGCAAGAAAGGTGCTTGAGGTATTTGACTAAATATCATTATTTACTGACCTATCTCTTTTTCTGCAGAACTTATTTTGATAATATAGTTGCAATAGATTCTCTACTTGAACATATAATGGTAAGTTGTTTTATTCACTTCTAAATGTATTAATCTTTATTATTAAAATTCTTGCTTCCTTCTCCTTTCCTTGAACTAAGGCATTGTATAGCAGAAAGGTATGAGCTTTTTGTAATTCACATGTAATACAAAAGACCTGAGCAAACCTCTGTGGAAAAAAAGGGGGAGTGTCAGCTTGATTGTTTGTCACAACAACTTTGTTTCACAGCTTCCATATTTAATGAAACATGAGGTCTCTGAACTAAATTGTTACTCTCATATCTTAAGGTAGATATGAAAATTTTATACAGAAATACATTTTTCTTTCTGTTTCAAGATGTTTTATTTTTTTCTAAATCCAATTTGTTATTTGCTTCTAAAATTCCTCAATAATCTGATGTCTGTAGGAAGCACTAGAGGTCCACCATTACTCCTAGAATATTTGCAAATGACATGTGCAAAAGACAATACACCTCCTTTGCTTCACAAAGTGATTATGCCCATAACTGTAATGACAGAGTTGGTCAATATTTTTATAAAAAAAAATTAAGCCCTGTTGAGTTGAAGTAGGTGACAGATTATGGTTTAAATAGAATATGGTTATATATTTAAATAGAATATGGTTATAGTTTAATAGAATTAAACTTTAATTTAGAAATAGATTATAACTTTTTCAGATCAAGTTGCAACCCAGAATTACTTCACAGAATCACAGAATGGTTGAGGTTGGAAGGGGACTATAGAGATCATCTAGTCCAACTCCCCTGCTCGAGCACGGACACCTGAAGCTCATGGCACAGGGCGGCATCCAGACCAGGATCCGGGTTTGAAGACCTCCAGAGAAGGAGACTCCACAACCTCCCTGGGCAGCCTGTGCCAGGGCTGTCACCCTCACAGGAATGAAGTTCTTCCTCACATGGAGATGGAACTTCCTATGTTTCAGCTTACACCCATTGCCCCTTGCCCCTATCACTGCCCAGCACTGAGAAGAGTTTGGCCCCATCTTCCTTACATTTTCCCCTTAGGTATTTGTACATATTGATCAGATCTCCTATCAATCCAGTCTTCTCAAGGCTAACAGGCCCAACTCAGTCTTTCCTCATAAGATGGATGCTCCAGTCCCTTAATCATTTTTGTCGCTCTCCACTGGACCCTCTCTAGAAGCTCCATGTCCSTCTTACACTGAGGAGACCAGAACTGCCCCCAGTACTCCAGGTGAGGCSTTACCAGAGCTGAGGAGASGGGCAGGATCCCCTCCCTTGACCTGCTGGCAACACTCCTCCTGATGCAGCCAGGATCCCGTTGGCCTTCTTGGCCACGAGGGCACTGTTGCTTCATGATTAACTTGGTGTCAGCCAGGACTCCCAGGTCCCTCTCCGTGGATCTGCTTCCCAGCAGGTCAGCCCCTAATCTGTCCTGGTGTCTGGAGTTATTCCTCCCCAAGTGCAGGACCCTGCGCTTGTCCTTGTTGAACATTATGAGGTTCTGTCAAACTCTCTCTGTCCAACTCTCCAACCTGTCTAGCTCCCTAGACAGGACGCTGTCTACAAATACCTGTGGATTGTTTGGTCATGCTTTATTTTTGGTGCTTGGTATATAAATTTTACTGTCTTGCTTTTGCACACTCATTGCATACTGTAGACTTTTTCCTGATTTCAAACCTTAATATATTCTCTGATACGATTACTTCAATCTGCACATTCAAAATCTGCTTTCCAGTCATACTTTGTTACTTGCCCTAATCATCCTAGTGATGATCTTAGCTAGCATATTTTAAGACAGCTAGGAATTCTAACATTATARAAACTGATTTCATTTAGAAACTTAAAGTCAAGAACCATATACATAAATATTTCTGAATGTTGACCCTTCGGATTTAAATGAATTGCTTAAAAATTATTTAATATTTAAAAGGAGTGGCATAATATAACTTAGCRCATTAATAACAAATATTCATGTTCTTCTCAATAATAATCTTGTGGGAAAAACAATTGACAACAAATTATACTTACTCTTTCATTTTCTTTACCAACAGTTGCTACTTCATGATCCTGTTTTATAACCTGTATAGAYGCTTCACGCTCAGATTCCTTTGTAATGTGTTCTAATTAGCTGATTCTGGGCCACTTAATTGAATTACTTGTTTTAATATTTCTTACCATTTTACTGGAGTGTGATTTTTATCATGTGTGGCACATTCTGGTTCTCACAATGAGAGGAGAGTGAGAAAGAATTTCACCATCCTGCTTCATGTTTGGGTGATTGCATGCATTTAGAGCTTGGTTGGGGAGGAAAAACCAAACAAAACAAAACAAAAAAACAGTTGTTTTACAATACTAAAATCCCTTTACTTCTATTTTCCTTTTCCTTTTCATTAAAATTCCTCCATGAAGATAGTCTTATGACAGAAAATGACATATAAAAATGCCTGAAAATAAAGCTGTWTTTGAATGAAGATGACATGCAGAAGTTCAGGTTGTCTTGCAAATTTTCTTATCTGTATGTTTGAGTACTGTTAAAAGCAAGCTACATGAAAGGTGGTTACCTTCTCTGCCTGGAGTACTTGCCTGACAGTGCTAGGAGTACTTTTTGATATTCTTCTTCAATCATTGTCCTGGATTTGAGCCAGGATTTTAGAGAAAAAAAAGACTTCTGCATGCCATTGAACATTTATCTCGATTAGTAGTTTCAATTAGAGTCATGACCAAGGTAAGTTCTTGAATCAGATGCATTAGAACACAAAATTATTCTAATTTGGTTAGTGTTGTTGATTTATAAAGAAATCTGATAAGAGTTTCAGAACATGTGCTCAGATTCATTTACTAGGTATTTGGCACAGTTCTTATTCAGTCCTCTCTTTAAGCAGAGGAGGATATAGTATGAATGAATGTGATATTTAAATTTCTTAATCCTCGTAACAGGACGTATTTTACAAAAGTTGCCTTCTCAGCTGGCAGTCTTCCTGACTTTCCCCTGTTCTGATGGAACACATTAGAAAGCACACGAGTCTTCTAACCACAAATTCTTTCAGAACTGAAGGGCGATCCAGGTTTTATAAACTGGTCTAGATGGCTTCTGTGCAGCTTATGTTACACAGCTCACATTACATAGGATAAAAGCTTCACAACTAATGATTCTGCTATCTGCATCAGTTTGAAAAGGATTTTGCGGGTGCAGGGAAGATGGAGAGGGGAGGAAGACGGGTTAGGTCATTCRTATTGGAAGGCTTGAGAAGTCTTGGGTATCACCCCTCTATGTCCTGCACACCGAGTTGCAGTCAGTTTCTTTCTTTGTCCCGATGAGTAGATGGGTATTATATGCATYTGGAACAATTCATATAAAATTGAAATGGAGAGGGATCTACCTCAAACCACTCTGTGACATGCAGTTGTTGCAACTTCTGCACAATCGAGACTAACATTAGGAAACTCTTCYTGAATTGGATCAAGTCCAGGACCTAATTATATGGCTTAAGTTGACACCGTGATTGTAGATTGTTTTTGCTTCACGCATTTCCAAATTCCCAGAAATCTATCCTAAATATGAGAAACATTTCTGTGTAAAGCTCCAGGGACAAGTTTCTGTTCCGAAAAATCAGAATTTGTTTCATTGAAATAAAGCCAGTAGGTTTATGCTAGTGTACTGCTGGGCTGTGGTAGTTCCTTGGCTGTGAGTGATATCTTTTGGAGTATAGTTAGTTCATATGGAACCAGTTGGGTATTGACTTCTGTGCTGAATTGTCCGTAACATAAGGAGATTGTCATCTTTTCACAAACTATTGCATATGGCAATCTGTCATCCTGCTTCTGTTTTTCTTCCATTTTTTTTATTGCTGCATAACACAGAAATGTACATTTTGCTATTTTAGAAGCAAACACTGGCCTCTGTTGGTATCCGGTGCAACTATGTATGCACTAAAGGAAAAAGACAAGAGTGTTCTTAGGTCTTGATATATCTTATCTATTTAAAAACATGTTAAAATTAATAATTTTAAAAAACAGAGAAAAGGGCACCTTTTTGAAAACCATTCTTTGCACCCAAAAAAAAMCCCCAGTCTACTGGGAAAAACATTTTTCCTTTAACAAACATTCAAGTCTCAAAAGATATGCTTGTATTTTTTCAATCAGAAGAGTACTTTAATTTAGAGAGAAGAGTAAATATAAAGCCCACTTCCCTTTTGAATTGTATCTTAAAAGATTGCAAGTGAATTCTGCTTCAAAGCATTATCAAAGCTACATACTGGATAAGTTCTCAAAACTTTTTACTTACAAAGCCTTTTCAGATAAATGACTGATTGACACATGATGGTTAATTCTGCTTTTTTTTTTTTTTTTTTTTTTTTTGTCTGTAGATATATGCAAAAAACCTGGTGAATGCAGACAGGTGTGCACTCTTCCAGGTAGACCACAAGAATAAGGAGCTGTATTCAGACCTTTTTGATATAGGAGAAGAAAACGATGGAAAACCTGTCTTCAAGAAGACCAAAGAAATAAGGTAAGAGGAGTTGGAGAAGAAYGCAGTGCCATTATAACTATGGATGTGCAGGCATTTTATTACCCAGTCTCTGTGCCTATCTGCAGGTACCCTGACAATACTTGTCATACTGTGATATCATTCCCACCAGGACCCGCCTCCAGAAGGTAGTACTTCTGGGAATGACATTGCAGTGCCATCGAAACAACGTCTCTGAAGCTATAACGTCACTCCTGGAAATGCCGTCTTCCGGAGGCGGTCCTTTTGGAAATCATGTTGGGAAAAAAACAGAGGTGTTATGAGGTAGGTAAAGGTGCAGGTAAAGATGCACCTAATCCATGATTGTGCCAATATGGGACCTTTTCTTGGAGTTCCCAAAAAGAATTGAAATATGTGCTACTTAGGCACATCCAAAACAAGGAAATCACAATTTGTACCTCTTCAGAATGGATTAAACATACATAGGATCTCATATGGACTGATCATTAGTTTTGAAGACTATAGTCTTCCTTTTTCACCTTTACTCATCTGAGCTTAGAATATTTCCAAACTTCCGAATAGTAGTGGTTCTGGAGTATGCTTGAAATGGTGAACTTGAAAATGTATGCAGATTTGTAATTAGCAGATAGAATTCTCTGCTGTGAATTTCAGGTTTATGTCGCAAGTTCTTATGTACAAGTTACAAGTACATATGTACAAGTGTACAAGTTATGTACAAGTTGTTTACATGTATGTGTCTTTCTAGAAAGACAGTCAAAGAAACAAAGTCAATTTAACATTTTTCGCTTTTGAAAAGTGCTGAATGTTGATCAGTGTGTCTGTTGGTGCAAGATTTCCAGATATACAGGATTTAAACCTGTGCAATTAAAAAAAAAAAAAAAAAAGGAATGTATGACTAAGTCTCCTGCATTAATATTCCTAATAAAATAAACAGTCGGTAACAAAATTCTCAGATTTTTTTTTTTCAATTTCTTCATATATCATTGAAGTTCTAGGCCAATATGAGATATGATTCATGTCTTCATTTAGATTCCTTTAGATGAACTTACTCCTACTTGCTACATTGTGTGAGTAAGAATGGAAGGAGTCAAAATTAGTGCAATTACATAGTGACAAGCAAGGAGGTGGGGTAAATTTAAGAAGAAAGTGGCCTGCTTTAACATATACTTTTGTGCTCCTACTTAATAAGTGTTTTTCTTGCCTATATGCGACTGTCTTTTTGGTATGAATATTCTTGAAATGTTGACACTGAGTGCAAGGATGTGAGCCGTTTCAGGGTGATTTATGCTGAAAGAGAAATAAGTGACTGTAGGAATGCAACAGTGAGTCAGCCTTTAGAAAGGAATTTGAATYGGTGTAATATACATATGAGAAGTAGTAGAAGAAACTGTAACTTAAAACCAGTTGAATGGGGTGAAATCATGTCAGTTTTGTCAGTGACTTCGGTGGGGACAAGATACTAGCCAGTACATTTAGATTTGAATGTGTTCTATGTGGGAATTCTTTCTAGTTATTCTTGTCTGCAAACCCTCCAGTGTTTACATGTCATCCCTGCTTTATGCTGAAGAAAAATACTTCCTAGCTATACTGGCTTTTACATTTTTGTTGTTTCATTATTTTTTCCAGATTCAGTTCCTCAATATATTTGCTGTGTTTACTTTTTTCCTGTTGAGATTAAATGATGTATTTGGTTCCTCTGCATTTTTTTGCTATGAGATGCAACAAGCTAGTTATTCAGAAGTGTACATATGTAATGCATATATATATATATATATATAATGTCTAGCTTTGAAATGTCTAGCTTTGAAATATCTGCTGATTTTTTTCCAGACTTATTTTATCAAATACACCTCTCTCTTAAAATACTAAAAATCCCCCAAAAATGGTGATGAAATCAGTAGTATATATGGGTAAACAGAATCAGGTTTTGTAAAAATGTGTTATGTATTAGACATAATGTCCAAGGTTAGGAATACTGAATATTTGTCACTAACCTGGTTACATTATGGTATTTTTGTATTTTTTATTTTCAAATATATAAATATGTAAAATATTTTTAGGAAATACCTTTTTAAATATGTGCTTTCTATTTCATTATTTTGTGTCAATTGTCATCTCATAAGATTTTTCTCCCACAATGATGTAACTAATGCGGATCTGGAGCAAATATCCATTACTGTACCTGAGACAGACTCCCGTGGATAAATATTTTTCTGGATTGTTCATATTGTGACTTAACACATATTTTTATTTTGTGCAGATTCTCTATAGAAAAAGGAATAGCTGGTCAAGTGGCAAGAACAGGTGAAGTCCTTAACATCCCTGATGCCTATGCAGATCCACGCTTTAACAGGTAGGAATTTATTAAGGAGGAGGTTTGTGGGAAAAGTGAGAGGTCACCAAGGTTTCCAGTTAACTTAATGCTCAAGTTTGAAAAAGGGATTGCATTTACAGAAYTGTGATCTCTTGATGAAAAGACAACCTATAAATACCACAAAATCACATGTCTATCTGAATGTTTTGGCCATTGGAGGTGTTTTTAAGAGAAGAAAATTATAAAGCATTATCTGTGCTGTATATAAAAATCACAAAGAAAGATTTTACTTTTCTTTTGTCCTGAAAGCACAGTTAGACTGACTGCTGATGATTTTTTGTTATTGGCCTCCCTGCAGTCTGATTGAGTTGGGGCTGAGGAGGGAACATATCTAGCAAATAATATGAGTAACACATACACAAAAAATGTAATCTGAATTTTTTAAACGAGCTATTCTTTCATATGAGGAAGCTTTAATTATMTTGCCAGTGGAAAATAAAGGATTAAAATTATTTCGAAGTGCAGCCAGCATGTGCAGATATGTAAGAGTTGTAGAGTTTAATTTTTTAGAAGTACTGCTTATGTCTACATTAAAAATGCTAGTTTATTGTACAAAAACATTATTAGGAAACAAAGAATAGATACTAATAAATAATATTAACTCTTTTTTTTCCCTTTTTTCTTTCCTGGCTCTCCAGAGAAGTAGACCTCTATACAGGCTACACCACCAGAAATATCCTGTGCATGCCTATTGTAAGCCGAGGAAGCGTTATAGGTGTTGTGCAGATGGTGAACAAAATAAGTGGAAGTGCCTTCTCTAAAACTGATGAGAACAACTTTAAAATGTTTGCAGTCTTTTGTGCTTTAGCCTTACACTGTGCTAATGTAAGTTTTACCTACAGTTTTGTAAGCTGTTCATTGCAATGTGAAGACTTAGAATCGAAGTTAAGAATTTAATCTATTATTTCATCTTCCAGATCATTAGTGATTCATAAGTCTGTTCTGTTGAATTAAAAGGGAAACCACAATCACTGAATTCTTTGTTGAATAACTGCATTTTAAGAGGCTGATAGGGATTCATTTTATGCCTTTTGAAATAATTATACTCTGGATATATCCCTTTCATAGAGCTAAACCTAGACAGAATACACTGAATGGTATCTGTGAATTCTTTTTCATTAGGAAGTATGATTCCTACTTATTTCTACATATTGATATCTTGTATCTTACAGCATTAACCAGGGAATGGAGATGATGTATGTTCACTCCACTTTGTGTGCTTCTACTCAAAATATTTATGTTTATATACTGTGCTATATATTCATAATTTAGTTATTCTTCTAAACAAAGCATTTATTTTCAAAAAGAACTCCAAACTTCAGAAAAAGTAAAGAATGTAATGATCCTTMCTACGTAAGTGTAAAAATCTAACACTAATCTCTGTAGAAGAAATGTATGACAGTTAGGTCTGGTGATTTACATTAAGCCATTTCATATCATGCTGGCAGTCTGCTGGAACAGTAACCTTTCTTACACTCCCATAAGCTTGTTCCACATGACTCAAGGCAAGTAGAGGCCTGCATGTAAATGAAACTTGGGACTATACAGTCACTGTTGTATGAGAGTTCACTCTGATTAGATGATGAAGTTTGCTATTCAGGGCATACTGCCCCAGAGATTGCCTTCAATAAAAATATATAAGAAATCTAGCATGTCCTTACTTGTTTACAAACCATGCCAATTCTACAGTAGCTGAGATTCAAAGCCTCAATAGTTATTGAGAGACTTTATTTTTCACGTTACTGCATAGTAATGTAGATATGGTAAACTTTGCACATTTTCTGCATGGAAGTTTTTTGTTATCCATATTGCAAGGGATTGAAATTCGACAGGGATTGAGTCCAATCTGAATTCTAATTGCTTTTCTTGGGAGAGATCAGGACATGATGAAAAGTGGTCAGAGCCCTCAGTTTGTACCCTAATGAATAAATGCGGAGAGGTGTAATACTCTCAAAAGTCTCTCTCCCTGTTGAGAACCTAAAAGGCCCAGTTCTCCATAAGTACTAAATTTCTGTAATCTTTCACTTTTCAGATGTGTAAAGTGGGGCAGCCAAAAATGGCTGATATTTTTGCAGATATATATTTTTAAAATAATAAATGCTTGATTAGAGGAAGTAAATATTATCTGCATTATTAAACTCTTACATTAATGCGTAGTTTCCATTTCTCAGATGTACCACAGAATTCGCCATTCAGAGTGTATTTACCGTGTAACGATGGAGAAGCTCTCCTATCACAGTGTTTGTACAGCAGAAGAATGGCAAAATCTCATGCACTGCACACTGCCTCCACATATCTGTAAAGAGATTGAACTGTAAGTATTTGTTTATTATAGCAACAGCTACAACTCATATCTAGAAGGCTCGGGTGTTTTTTCCCATAGATACAGTGCAGGGTTTGTAGGAAGCACCRTTACTACAAAATGATTCCGAATGATAGGAGTTTATCTGTGGTTAAAACTAGTTATAGTTTTACCTAGTTAAACTTTGTGACCTTTGAACAAACTATTTATCACAGGTGTAAAATAAAACCTAATCAGAATGGTAGAATAACTACAGTAGTTGCATTAAACAGTGTTAGATTCAAGAAATGTAGCAGTGAGTTTTTTTCTGGTAGGCTTAAGTTACCAGTACCTACAGACAGAGGATAGGCTGAGCTGGAATTTCTATAGGTAAGAGCAAATGGATAATTGGATATTACGAGAGTCCTCTCAGTTTTTAAGCCCATTTCCTGGCTCTAAATAGTGAATTCTACTGTAGGACCCAGTATCTAAAATCAAAACTGACTTTGAGTCACAAAACCTAAATGTCTATGGAGATGTACTCTCTGTATTTCATTTACTTTTGTCAAGAGCTGAGCATTGTCACTCTGAAGCAGAGCATGCAAGGATAACCTTAACAGTGACTTTTTTGCTTGAAATTTATTATGTGCTTAAGTGATTTGCTTGAAAGCTGGAGTATTAGCGGCTTGTAGGATTACACCCTAATAGAAGCCTATTATTTGCAATATAATTTCTTGTTCTTTGTTAGATATTATGTAACCCGCCTCCTCAGCAAAATGACTTTCACTTGYAAAGATGACAGGTTTCGTTCTAAACTGCATTAACATCCTTAAGTAAAAGAAATCTGAATATATTTAACCATTTTTTTTCCAAGCAGTTCAGCTACTTTCAGCTCTCTTGTACCTTTTGCTTTGTTCAATGTGTGGCATATGCACCAACATTTATCTGGGTTCAATGGAGAGTAAATAGAAGACTTGCAGCACAGCCTGTACAAGGAAAGGGGTTAATTAATAATCGAAAAACAAACAGTTCTGCTGAGCTTGTCCCTAACATCAGGCCCAATGTTGATACTGCAAGAGTGGAAAAAGCATTGGCTGATGAAACATATAAAATGCCTTATGAAGAAGCTAGGTTTTGAAATTTTGGCCTAATTTCTATAAAATCTTTTTTTTTTTTNTCTCTTCTCTCTCTCTCTCTCTCTCTCTCTCTCTCTCTCTCTCTTGTACGAGTTAAAGTGAGTCTTGCCCACTTCTGATAGAAACTATTGGGAGGAAAAAATGCAGTAAAGTACTATACTAGTCACACCATCCTTAAAATTTTGTGAGGGAAGTCTGGAATATTTTTGGAGTACCTGTAAAGCTCTGATTATCTGACTATGCACACTGAAYGAAGACTTTGGTGTACCTCCTCAACAATAAATTCTTAGAGAATTATTTTTCTTTCTTTTAATTAAGCATAAACAAAAGCTAGTTTTAAAAGTTCCATTGATCTTAGTGCAAGTATATTGACTTAGCTGAAAGCTGTMAAATCTTTTTTGTTGTTTATATTCAGGAACAAGTGAATGCAATCAGAGACATGTTACCTAGTCATTTTTAGTTTAAAATGAGAAAGTGCTTGTGCTTACTAAGCTGAAAATTTCTTCTTAGATACCACTTTGACATCAGTCCCTATGAGGACGTCTGGCCTGCCATTTTTGTCTACATGGTCCACCAGTCCTGTGGGACAGCCTGGTATGAAGTACATGATTTATTGCTTTAATCCCTTTACTTATTAATATACATCTAAGGAAACATTGGGATCATAATGCTTTAACACATGGTATTATTTTATTTGAACGTTATTTACAATGCTTGTTCTGCACAGGACTGTAGCAACTGGATTGAATCTCTTGTCCTAGTTTCTTGGTCTTCAGTTCATAAAATTTGGGAACAGCCAGTTCGTCCAAATGGTTGTCATTTCAATAAATAGTGTATTGTTTGGTTCTGAGGTCACATTGCTTTTCAGTCAGAATATGGTAAAGTTGTTAAATTAATATGTGGTTAAAAAATCCAAGACTAAGATCTTATCTTCCAAAATAAATCATATACCAGCATTATTATCCATTAATTGGAGAAATGAGTGCTTTTCAAATTTAATGTATGCTCCTACTGCTGAAAGAAAAGAGCAGCTCCAGATCTTGGAGAAGTAGAGCAGTTGAGAAGACAAGCAATTAAAAGGGGAATAATCCTCATCCAAAACTGAGGAACAGCTGGAAATATTCTTTGGTGGCTGTTTCTTCTTTAAAACTGGACCGATCTTCATGCCCTTATGGTCAAGTATGAGGGTTTCTCTTGACTTTGTTGTAGTTGATTTCCTCTTTCTTCAGTATACAGCAAAGTAGATTACTCTACTAGATGCAGTTCTTCACTGCTTAGCAAAATCAGGGCGTTTCCATTGCTAAGTGAGTGGTCATGGTTCCAGCATTTGGGGATGAATTTTCAACTGAGCTGTATTCTTTTTCTTTCCTACTTCTTCCCCGAATAGAATTTACATTGACTTGATATTTTTAAAGTGAGTTTCAGTTCTGACATACAAAATTAAACAAAAGTGAGAAAAATATTTGAAAAAGAGACTCTGAGGACTGACAGACATATATAATCCCTGAAAAGGAAAGAAAACTTTTTAACTCTCTGAAACAAAGACTTGCCGCTGGTTTAATGCTAGAATTTGTTTTCAGTTTATTGAGGAGTGGGGTTGTGCCTTTGAGTATATACCTATGAGTGGGGAGTATTTTTGAAAATAAAAAAAAATTGTGATCGTCGTTACTCTTTCATTCCTCCTAGGAGGAAATTACCTTTTATTATTCTAATCAAACATTAAACAAATAYAGCAGTGGGGGAAACAATACTATTCTAAGCTAATCTGTAATGATTTTCCCTTTGACAACAACTGTATTATGCAATAGTAGTCTTTGGGTAGATATTGGATCTAGGTGGATGCAAGATGTTCTGTTTTAACCAGTAGCTTTAGCAATTGTCTTACAGYTGTCTAATTGAAATCTCTAGAATTAAAAAAGAAACAATAAAGCTTCGTCGAAAGACAATATGCCTCTGTTTTTACTAATGTAAGTCGAAGACTAGAGCAGAATAATAATTACCTTATTCAACGTGCAAGCCTCAAAATATGTTTTCCTCTCTAATTGGCTCCGTATAATAAATGTATTTACATTTTTACATGATAGGTTGGACATATTCAAGTTCATTTTCTCTGCCCATATAGACATTAATAAGGCACCTGGGAAATGAGTAAGAAATGATCAAAACATGTAATTAAAAAAAAATCATAGAATTAAGAAAAAGTCATGGAACTTTTTAAAAAAAAAAAGGATTGTGAGGGAAAACTCAGTGAGTTAGGATGCTGGCAGCTTTGATTCAAGTCTAGACTTGAAAAATACTACTTCTCTGGCAGTTTGTGTTTGGTACTTTAGAAAGTTTTGCTTAATATACAAGATGGCCTGAATTTCCTCCTTGTTAATGACCAAAAAAAAAAAAAAAAAAAAAAATCTGCTGTCCTTTCAAAGGATTGTATGTAGATAAAATCTGTTAAAGATTGTACAGACAGAATTCTGTAAAAACAGAATTAATTTTCTTATGTTAGCTTGCTTTAAAAAATTAATATTTTGTTTTAAACATAAATGATATTTTCAAATTGCTAGTTAGGGACAAAGATTCAGTTTTCAGCTAGTTCAATAAATAGTGCTTTAAAGAACAACACTTCAGGTTTCTGGGAACAGAAAAGTTATGTAATCGTGTTGCATGTAAGTTGATTTATGTTTGAGAATTTTACAGCTTAAACCGAGAGCGCTGTCAGGTACTCGCATTCTTCTGTCCTTGCTGAAACTTGAATGGCTCTCCTAATCCATGAGTCATGCACATTGAGAGTCGATTTGAGCAAGAAGAGTAAACCAAAGAATCTAATTTCTACTTTGTTATTTTATCCATTTTTATTTCGTGTCTCACCAAATTCTTTTATTTCAAGCTTTGAACTTGAAAAGTTATGCCGATTTACTATGTCTGTAAAGAAGAACTATCGCCGTGTGCCCTACCACAACTGGAAGCATGCAGTCACAGTTGCACATTGCATGTATGCCATACTTCAGAACAACCAGGGTCTTTTCACTGATCTGGAGGTAAGCGAGGAGATAGTGTGAGTTACTAGGTCTCATTGTAGGAATCAATCATCATGGAAATGTGTTTTCTATGCTGGAGATTTGCTCGAGATCAGCTCGAGCAGAGTGTATCAATCATCATAAAACAAATCTCATACTTTTTGCTGTGGGAGGAGTATGAATAGAAAGGTTGAGGTATGAGAATTTTCTGGATTCCTATGTGTAGTATTTCCTTCATATATTTCAGCTGTGCTTACTGTAAGAGTGACATGTTTGCTATAAGACTGCTTTGACATTCTCTCTGCCCCCTTATAACCACATCCTTTTCCTTAAGTCCTTAAATGTGTAAGAAAATGTTAGACCTGTACTGAAGGGAAGGAAACTCCTGAAGGTAGGACCAGAGAAGAGCTTTGGTGTTGCAGAGATAGTTAACCTATGTAAGGGAAAAGAATAGAAAGGATAGAAGGAAGCATTTGTCCAGGCATGTTTATTCACTGATGAAAATTTGTTATTCAGCAGTTGTCCTTAGCATGTGTGTATATATATATTTATCCAAGACATCTGCATAGTTTAGMAAATTTATGCTTTTAATAGATCACTAACTGAAAAAAAAGTGCAACTATAAAATAGAAAGTTTAGATAGTTTTAATTTTAATATAAGTATTGAATTGTTTCTCCTTTTTAAAATTATTTATTTTATAATTACTGTAGGGGCATCTGGGAGTGCTGCCTGTTATTTACATGAATCTTCCCCTGGAATAACTTCTTTTTATTTGTTCATACCTTTGCAAAAACCTAGCCAGCTGGGTTGTAATTTTCCAAGCTCACTGTCTTTTTCAGGCTAATTTATTTGGGGAGCTTTCAGATAAAATTCTATGACTCCTTTAGAGAAGCATGGTACAAAAAATGATTTTTCTGTTCAGTTTATAAGAACAAAATAAAATGTGGTGACCTTTCATTTAAAAAGGTCTAGTGTATTCTATTTTAAAGCTGGGACTTGAAAATTGGCAGCAAAAAAGAAAAATGGTGTTTGCCAGCTGTGTGCTGAAAGTTGACCACATTACACATGTTTTTTTAAAAAAACAGTGTTTTTTTTTTTCATAACAAAAACCCTGTAGTTTGCACTATTGGGAGGTAGTTAGAACTCTCATAACTTGAGTACTGATCAAATAGTACGCCCCATCTTTCTGGAGCACTTCTGGACATTTGGGGTAAGAAATGCTGAGAGTGTGAAAGTGGCAGCTGTTAAGAAAGATAGAAACCATCACTATTCCCTGTCAAACTTCTCTCAGCCTTCATCCACTGGAACACCTTATTCCAGATTACATTCAAGTTCTTGCTAGCAGGGTTGTCATCCTGACACTGGAGATATAGCTGACAAAAATACAGCCTGGGGAACTTGCTCAGGCTGGTCTGAAGGGAGAGATGATGATATGTACCTAGGTAAGCAGAGCRATGGGAAGGTACAAAGTGCTGTCAGGGAGATTCTCATCTCGAGACAAATGGATCCAGCAATTAGGAGTTGTTAAAGACCAGTGATCCAGGCGGGGACACTAGGTACAATCTCAAAAGCACAGGGATTAGGCATTGTAATTCTGAGGAACTGAGACAAGAGTGAATCCCTGGGAAGCAGGGAAAGGAATAAACCAGACAAAGAAAACTATCTGGCACAAGGAGCCAGACAGACAAAAAGTGGACTTGCAAACCACAGGTTGGAAAGACTACTGAGAGAGAATTAAGCTTGTGGGACAAGAACAAAAAAAAGCTTACGTCCTCTAAGTTTAATATGCAGCACAAAGAATTTTGAGACTCGWATTTCCTTTGCTCTCATAATTTCCATTGGCAATGTGTCTTGCCCCTCCTGATAGAAGGGGATCCTAGCTTTCAATAGCCATCAGTTATTTTATGACTTGTCGATCTCTGTTAACGTGACCGAGTTTTCACTTCTGCAGGGCATCTATGTGGATGTGTGCTACTTTATGATCAGTTTTGCCCCATTTGCTTTAGAAAAAAAAAGAACTTCATAAAATGAGATATTGTAAGGACATCATTAAAAAAAAAAAAGGTTAAAAATGAAGAGGCAAATCAGAAATAAAAGAATTAGGAGTGCTATAACCTTAACTGAGCACATTGTGTTTTTGAAAACATTTTTAATTATGTGATCACGTGCTGTTTTTCCACAGAATCACAAAACACAGGATGGAGACTGCTCACTTATTGCTCATCAGTGCCTACTGTTAGACTGTTAATTTCATAGGCTTTTTATGATGTTCATGGCTACAGTAGCTGCTTCACAGACATTGATGAATACATTTTTCAAAACACACCTGGTGTATGAAGAGATTTCTCAGATATCCACTGATTTTATGTGTCGAAAGGGAGATTTCAGGGACTCTGGTTTTCAATGTATTAATTCAGTTTTGTTTTACTTCATTTTCAGTTGCTATTCCTCAGCACTTCTGTACATCGCATTAGTGACTGTCTCCTAAAAGTATTGGTTCTAGGCTGGACCTTTGCGAGTGAGCCAGCACTAAGCCTAGGGGCCTATAGAGCCTCTAGTATTCTTAGTATTAGGGTTGAGAGAGTGAGAGAGAAAGCCATTGTCCCTGTGGGGAGTGGTGCATGTCAAAGGAAACCTAGCACTATGTTGAGATTGGTTCTAGGACAATATTTGCCTTTGAGGCAGCACTAGGCCTGGTAGCCTCAACCACCACACCCTCCTGAGACTACAGTGAGAAGGAAGGTGAGAAGTGCAAGGAGCAGAGCCCTGTGAGGAGTGGGGTCACAAAGGGCATGGCAAAGGAAATGGAGTGCTCTGTCCACACTGGTGCTAGAACACATTTTCCATTGAGCTAGCGTTAGGCTTTGTTGGTCTTGGCCTTTGGACCCACCTGAGATTAGGCTGATAATTAAGGCTAGGGTTACGTTTAGGCATAAGAGTGAGAGAAAGTCTTGAGTCYGTTGTGGAGTGAGATTAGAAAGGGCATGACAACAGAAATGTTGCACTTGATTTGAGATTGGTTCTAAGGTAACATTTGCTGTTGGGCCAGCACTAGCCCTCTTGGCCTCGGTAGCCACTTGAGATGATTCTGAGYACCAGGGCTAGACTTAAGAGACAGGGAAATCCTAGAATCCAATGGACTAGAAATGGACATACCAAAGGAGATATAGTGATATATCCAGACTGGCTTTAGGACAGTGTTTGTCTTTGAACCAGCGCTAGGCTTCATGGCAGCCTAAAAGTACACTACTAAAATTGATCTTATGAGGCTTAGTAAGTATCTTGTAGGAAAAATATGTTGCAAAGGTAGAGTTAGCACAGCAGTGTTGACCATGAGCTCATATATTCTGTGTATTTTCCCTCCCTCAATAACTCCTTTCTGTATGTTAAAAAAAAACACAATGTTTTTCTTTTTCAATAATCATGGTAAGGATCTAATGGACAACAGGACTGTACAAAATTCTTACCTTTTCTTGAAGTAGAATTCCCCTCATAGTATGTGGCTGTGAAGCTGTTTGTTATAATTCATAATATTAAAAAAAAAATAAAAAGAATTACTACTGGACAGAGAGTTTTAGATCTGCATTGCTTAACTTCTGCCTTTTTTCTCAATTTTAAGGACTTTTTCAATGTACTTTTTGAATGCACTGAAATCTTAGTACCGCACTTAGGTATTTTGAGAGATGAGGCTGACATCTAGAGGTAGGAAATATATCTCACTTTTCTTCCTTGAATTTCTTGTAGCGGAAAGGTCTTTTAGTTGCATGCTTGTGTCATGACCTGGATCACCGAGGTTACAGTAACAGCTATCTTCAGAAATTTGACCACCCTTTAGCTGCTCTCTATTCCACATCAACRATGGAACAGCACCACTTCTCTCAGACTGTGTCCATCCTGCAGGTAGGATTATTGAAATTGTATCATCTGTGAAGTAGAGTCCACTTGTGGAAATAGGAGTCACCTCATTGTTCTGTAGATGAAGCATGCTTAATTTAATTTCTGGATTGTAGTGCTCATCTAGAAAAGAGATATGGGAGAAGTATTTTCCTTCATTTATTACAGCAAGTCTAGTTCCAGAATTGGCAAGTAGGTGTTCAGAAATAATGCGTGTGTCATGAAAATCACAGCATCTTTCAAATGAGAGCATCTTGATGTTGTGAAAAAAAATATTGTTTATTTAAAGGAATACAGTATGTGGCCTTTCTGTGGAGCAGTTAGCATCTGGGTCAACTCATGAGGTTTTTTTTTTCCTGCAACTGTACAGGCGCTATTTTTTGAAAAGAAAGCTCGTTTTTTCCTTTAGTTATATATTTCCAGCAGACTGTGCTTCAAAAGAGTCTTTAATTATCCTAGAATTCTGAATAAAACCTCAAGAACTGGGACAAGTTGGTATGAGAAACTCTAAAACTTGCTGTAATAATTTCCCTGTGCATTAAGTGTGGCATGAAGTGTGCATAAACTTTTTACCTAGGACCAACTGTTAATTTTGCACGCATGAGAAGTTTAAATTGTTTGGATTATGTTGGCACGTGGTTTCCTTGCTTTTCAGCAAATTGAAATAAAATTGTTGAATCTGGTATTATTCTGTGATATACTTCGTAACGTAAAGTAATATATCTCTCTGTTTAATACAAAACTACCAGAAAGCATGCAGTTGCATTTTGGGAAAGCTAAGTCTGTTGGGTGACAAACAGCTGTTCTCTCAATAGCTAAAAATTTATTGTGCTGAAATAGAAAGAGTGAAAACTCTCACCTACGAGGCTGGTTGCCAGACCATAACATGCTCATGCTCACTGTTTTTATTTTTGTGCACATTTGTGATACACAGCCTTACCATGCCACTGTGTCACTAGCTCATTGTTTTTTTTTTTTTTTTCTTTCTGGTCTTTCAGGGGATAGATACTTTTTTTTTTTTTTAATATATGATCAGTTTTTAGGAAAAATGCATGTTCTCTTTTGTATTCAGAAGCCCATCTTATGGTTATGATTTTTATGTATCATAAACATTTCTTCAGAGCATAGAAGCTTTCTCTCTGAGTGTTCTTCCATAGAGAAGGGTGTAATTGAATCCTTTAGTGTTGGTATGGCATCCAATTTTTAGTACTCATACTTTGTGTGAATGGCTACACAGCGAGCAAGTTCCTCATTTATTAATGCTTCTTCTTCCGACTGTGCTACGTGAAGCAGACTTGTATCATTCCTTATTAATCATTTTGCATTTTTCCTGCACAAGTGGTGTAACTGCTGGAAGCCCCATTTGTAGAGGAGGCAGAGAACCTGCTTGCCTCCCTGCCCACTCCTCACCTTTCTGTGAGAGTGAGTGAGGAAAGGGAAGTGGCCAAAAGAACTTTTAGGATTTATGGCAATGAGTGTTAATTTTGTTACTAACCTATAGTACTTTTCATCCTTTGAACCTTTATAGCTGCTTTTCTCACCCACTGACAGTTCACGTGCATACCGTAGGTTATCCTTAGTGCAGCAGGAAGAAATAAAATGTTAAGTCATACATTTCATTTAATACTTAAAAGCCTAAAAGGCAAGCTTAGAAATGGTAGCTTTGATTAGGACCTCAATAAAAGCATTAGTTGATTTCTAGCAGTGTGAACAGAAGCCMCTGCAGCCAATGTAGTCTTCCCGATGTTGCAGATTTTAAAGCCAAAAAGGGGCAGCTCCAAATCTAACTTAATTTAAATGCTAGGGTAAACAACATGCTATTTTAGTAATTAGAGGGCTGGGAGAGAGGAGGCTCTCAAAAACCAAATTCTGAAAACTAGTAATAGTTATTTCCTGGTCCCAGAGTGTGGATGATGGGTTAAAATGTTCTGAGTGTTTTTTTTTTGTTTTTTTTTTTTTTGAGCGTCATGTATTGTGACTTAAGAGGCTGCCAAAGGAACATTGAGGCATGGATGGATTGTATTTTCTATTCATTATTCACAATAAATCTACTTGTCCAAGTGAAAACGTTGGAAAATGACATTTGCGTTCCGGATGATGAGAGAAGCCAAGCCTATTCCTAGCACAGAGGAATTCTTTTGAAGAAATTATGTAAATGCTTGACATAAGTCAGGAAAACTTTTGATGAGCTTCAACCCAAATGCCAGTTAAAAGTCAAAACACATCTGCATTTGATATATTTTAATAATATTTTCTATTTGTGAATATGCACACCTTGACTTGGTTGGCTGGCTCATTCTTTTTTGCCTTTTCCCCCCTTTCCTCTAAACAGTACGAAGACTTCTGACAGGTTGTTTTCAAAAGCTTGGAGTCAATGAGTAGTGTTGACTTTTCAAAATGTGATACAGCTTCATGAGCAATCACAGTACATGGATATTGTCAGTTAAATGCACAATGGTACATATTGAAAATTGAAAGGAGATGACAGTGGCACGTTGCCAGAGCCTCAATAGCAGAAAACATTGTCTTTAGTTTCTGAGTCAGTTGAGCAAAGCTACTTTTTCCCCTAAGTGTTCATATACATAAAAGTAGTGTAATTAACTTTATTTCTAAAAGGAAAATTTTATCAGGGAGTACAGCAATTGCAGGCGCATTTCATTTGGAACACTATATCATAGCAATTACTTTAGTACTGTAACTTGGATATCTCTCTATCTGTGTTATGTGTTGCACAATATCAGAAGTTCTTCAGAGTGAATCAGACACTCATTTTACCAGCTTGGCAGTGCAGTAATCTGGATCAGGATTAAGTCACAAGTTTCCAAGCTAATACTGTCTGAAAGTGACGTGTATGTAGTGCTTATAAATTGTAGTAGGAAAAGCTAGCATTATTCTTTACAGTATATTCTTTCTGAAGGCTGAAAGGATTACTAAAGGAAGCAGTCCCCCAAACAAATCAATGGTTTAATCATAACAGTTTCATGACAGTATTTAAAAGGGAAGGATAAAAAAGTGCATTTTGGGCTGTGTGTGTTTGAACTTGTAAAACTGTTGTAATCTGTCTGGTGAAGCAAAGACTGAAATCATCTCAGAATTAGAGCTTTTGCTTTTTATTGGTTTTTTACTTTTTCATAGCTGGAAGGGCACAATGTCTTCTCCAATCTGAGCTCCAGTGAATACGAGCAAGTCCTTGAGATCATCCGGAAAGCCATCATTGCCACAGACCTTGCCCTGTATTTTGGAAACAGAAAACAGCTTGAAGAGCTGCATCAGACAGGAGCATTAAACCTTAAGAACCAAGCACATAGGTAAAGCAACAAACTACTATTCATTCTTCAGGGTATTTATCCTAGGGAAGTAAAAAATGAAACCTCAAAACTTATTTTGCAGAAGAATTTCAATTAGAATAATGAATTAGAAGAATAATCTCCTATGTACATAGTAATTGTCTTACATACAGACTTTCCAAGACTAGTTGTGTGTGTTGATACAAAATGGCAGGTATATAGTAGTAAAAAACAATGTTTTATATTTGCATGTCATTGTCTTCAGATTTCATTTGCATGTTTCATTGGCAGTACATGTGGACAGAAAAGTTAGATGATAATGAAAAAAAGTAAAATGCAGTTGTTCTTTTTTATTTCAATATTTTTATTGCATTTTTTATTATTCTCTAAATATGCCTTTTTGAAATATTAGTACTGGAAGTCCTGTCGTCTACAGAAGTAGTTATTTTCTAATTTCTAATTGTTTGAAAATAACAATACTGTTTTGATGCAAACACAAGAGCTATAAGCTACTCACAAGACATCATATTTTTCTAGAAATCAGTCCTTAACTGGAGTATGGTCAGAGATGTGTCTCCTAACAGTATGCATTAAAGCACTTGTGCAGTTCTACCATACTCCTCTCAGAGCTTCTTGACTGAAAAGTGGATCCTGTCTCTGCATAATGCAGCTWGAAATCAGAGAAGTAGGGAAGTATCAAGTCATGAATCTGCTTTCTCCAAAGGGTACTTTAGTACTAGGATCTTCTTTAGTTTTCTGAGGAGTTTTACCAGATTCTGATGTTGAATAAATTATCACCATACTGTACAAAGGGTTATTCCTAGGAACTTATTTTGTGGTATGAAGTGAGTTCCATACTGATTTATTAGAATTGAATACCTTAAAATTTTAAGGACATAAAATTACTGTAGAAAAATTGGAAAAAGAAAGTGGAGGAAAAAATAGCAGTTACTTTTAAACAAAGTTCTTTAAGGTAGGCTCAGAACTAGATTTTGCCGATTTTGGTGCACATGTATTCATCTCTTYAAACAGAAGAAGGGAATGCAGCAACAGGTTATTCCAGCTATCTTGCTGATTTGAGCTTTATTTTCAGGAAATCAGGGAGCGACACAGAAGCATTTTAACAGGCATTCTTGTATACCCTCCTATGAATGTAGTTGTGCAAAAGCTGGTTGATGAGCTCCAGGTTCAAGTAATACTGTAATACTGTAAATAATAGAGTCATTTGAGAGATGCCTTACTAATAAGGCTTAAATGGGTAGGAAAGGAGAAAGCAAGATGGGAGAAATTCTGTGACATTTGTACTTTACTGCTGATTGTACTGAGGAAGAACAAATAAAAGCTTCAGAATATGATAATTAATCCTTTAGCAACTTAAAATTTAATACTGTTTTATTTTAGGGATCGAGTTATTGGTCTGATGATGACTGCTTGTGATTTGTGTTCTGTAACAAAGTTGTGGCCAGTTACCAGGCTGACAGCCAACGATATATATGCTGAGTTCTGGGCCGAGGTAGGTGCATGTGTTCTATTTACTGTTTTCTTTACAAATTGGGAGCATCCAGGAAGARAAAAACACTGATAGAACCATTTGCAATAAAAACCATTTGCAATAAGTACCTTATTGTGTTTGTTTTAAATATTCTTTGCTGGTGCATGCTCAATTGCTTTGAAGCTCTTCAAAGAGGCAAGATAGCCTCATGATTTGCAGGCAGTGTTTTCCTTCATGCTAAGGAGAATTTTAGAAAGTATGTCATAATGTATGGTGACCAAGCAACAGAATATATAAGAATCTGTAGGATTTCTTTTTTTTTTTTTTTTTTGAGTCAGTAACAGTAATTTTGTGAAGGAGCTATTTGTATTCTAGAAATGCAAACCATGAAACCAGCTTCCAGGCAGCTGCCTTAAAACACATACTTCTGAAGCTGCAGTACAAGTTCAAGAAATGCTAAAGCAAATATGACAAATCTTAAAATTGTTCAGATCCCAGGTTTTGAGTCTTCTTTGTAAGCCAGCTCAGCAACTGGATCCTAAAGAGAGGTAGTTGGTTTTTTAATATACTAAGAGTTATTACGCAGATAAAATTATCCAAACATGGCATTGAGATGTGCTATGTGATCATGTTCATAAATAAAGATGCAATCTCTTATATATCCTGTGCTGAGGAATAAGTGCACTATTTGTACAGCTTTGAAGATGAAAGAAAGACTCTTTTGTGGAAATAGCAATAAATTCCTGTTGCAAGGAGTTGGATTCTGCAGTTTCAGAACAAAAGTAGTATTTTGAGAACTAATATTGCATGTGCGTGTGTGTAAGTTGTGGGTCTGTCCTTTTTATGTATTCTTTGGTAGCCTGCACAATTCAGTGGACTGACCTCTGGCTTACATAGGTGTAAAATTGAAATGAGGCCTGCAGAATTGATGCAGCATCCATATAAACATGCAGATTTGTCCTGCCTGTGCTGTATTTTTCAGGGAAGTCAAAACATGCATGGCTTGTGTGATTTATTTATTTATTCTTGTTGCCTTTAATGTTCCTGTATGCTTGATTATGAACAGATCAGGCAACAATAAAATAGTTGAAAATAGTTGAACTCAGTGTAGAAAGAAGGATCAAGCTGATTTTTTTTCTCCTACTTTCAACAACAGTAAAGACAGAATTTTAGGCAGTATTGAGTGTCCAAATTTTAAATTGTTTTGTAATCTAAGGATGAGATAATGATGGTAATTCTTATAAAACACTAATACTTAATGTAGCAAATTTACATTAGAAATTATTGTCTGAAATTGAAATCTGTAATTGGTATTTTATCAAATCCATTTTAAGGAGAGGTAATCAGACATACCAATAGTTGGATGTGCTGTAGAGCCATCAAGATAGCTGGCTAATCTAACCATAAATGTGAGTGCTTCTCTAAAATAGAAAACTGGACATAGTTACAGAGAAAATTCTAGTTGAGGAAAAATGTAAACCCTAGAAAAATTTTAATTTTGATGAAATTGAATAGCTATATACAGTTCTAAATAAAGGGGGAAAAGTAATTTAATCAGTTGTTGAAACCCTTTATGTGGTATTTTTTGAAGAGCTTTATGATAAGCCACTCTATTACTGTACCCGTACTCCGGGTACAGTGATACAAACTTATTGGTTTAGAATTCCACCTTTTACTTTGTTTTATATAGCAGTCATCAACTGTGAGGATAAAGACAGTATTTTTTTTCACAGCACACTTAGCCTAGTCATGCCTCACAGCGTGTTGGCATGTACCTTTAAAGGTAAAGTGATGAATGTAGTTCTGAGCTTTGTTTGGTTTTACATAATCGATCAAAGGCTGGACAGCTTCCCCAATGCTTCCAGTATTTCCAAGACACTTCATACTATGCTAACTAGAGAGCTTAAAATTACATCAATTAAATATGTGTTAAATGGTGCAGTGCTGAGGGCCTGATCGCTGAGACTGTGATTCATCACTGAGACTGCACACAGCCTTACTGAATAAACAGCAATACTTTAGCCTAATGGGAGAATAAATAAAAGTTTACTTACAGGAGACACATAAAATTGTTTACTGTTCATTAAGAGCAATCCACTTAATTTCTATGCTGAACATTCTTACAGGTTTCTTTTTTAACAGCTGGCAAAGGACACCTTTCTTCTTGCTTCTTTGAAAATAATAAGTATGGCAAACTAARCGGTGCATATGCAGTGATTCTAACCTTGCTAACTATTTCATGAGGCAAATAAGCAACATGAGAAAACAACACAAAGAGACATTAATTCTGCCATAACTTTGTGGTTGCATCTCTTGTTGGTTAACCGCAGCAGGACCATAGAAATAGGTGATGTCGAGGCCAAATGTGCAGGAAGGAATCAACTTTAGGAAGCCTTCATCTTTTCTGAGCTCAAGGCAGCTTTGAAGCTGACAAATAGAAAGACGATCATTAACTACGGAACTCAATTTTTATAATATTGCAAACTTAAAGTGCCAGAATGCTTCCTTGGAAGAGAGCCTTGGCACTTGGAATTTTACTTGATATAATCTCATAAGAAGGATGTGATAAATTGTGTTCTGGAGGCACCTTCACTGACTGTAGAGGAAACTTAGAAAACCAGCTTAGACAAATCTCTCTCCCTTTTTCTCAGGGTGATGAAATGAAGAAAACAGGTATTCAGCCTATTCCTATGATGGACAGAGACAAGAAGGATGAAGTCCCTCAGGGTCAGGTATGAACTCTCTTTGTAAGATGATACATGGTTTATAATGTTAATAAAATGTCTATAAAAAAACCCTTTTTTATATATAAAATATATTTTTGTCTGTTGCATTTGATGTTAGGATATGTGTGTGCCCTGCTGAATTGTATTCTTACCCTGCAAATCAGAGCTAATCTTTTTAAATAGCAGTAGAAAACTCCTTTTCAAAGACATTACAAAAGACATTACAACAAAAACTGCTGCCCTCAAATACTGTATAACAGCTCTTCTCCCTGTAACAGAACAGCATTGTGATTATGTGAAGACTTTGAGACTGGCTTAAACATGATAAAATATTTCCAGTATGAGAACATCATGTAGTTTCAATAAGAAGAATGAATCTGGTTAGACTTGATGCTGATTATATGCTAATGCTTTTATGTTCTCGTAATTTCCAGGAGAACCATTTATATCTTTACTAGTACTATTACTTATTCCCTTCCTCTGAAACAAATATTCTGTTCATTAGTGACAGGCTTAGTTTGTTGTTCTGTTTTGTTTTTGTATGTTAAATGTTTGGATATGTAAAGCCATAAGATATGCAAGAGAGAACTGCCTATTGAGCGTTATTGCGGAATATATATGTTTTGGGAAAGTTCTAAGGCATAGCTAAAAGTGTTAGTCAAGTACTATGAAAAAAAAATGCAAGAAAAGCCATCTCGGCACTGTAGCTTTGTAGAGAACCTCACACATCAGTTCTCTGAATTGTGATTCACAGGGTTTTTTTGCAGCTGTCATGAAGTAGGTTTGTTGGGAATAATATTTAGAGTATCCTAATATAAGTGCAATGAAAGTCACCTATTTCATTCCTCATACTCATATCTCTAGCTAAAATCAATCGTGCAGTTTTGAGAAGGGTCATTAACATTTTTTTCTACTTAGTGATTAGTTCCACTCCTAAATAAGTTTTCTGTTTTGTCCTGATTGCAAACTGACCTGCGGATTTTCCTTTGCACAATGGTGCAGCAACATTTGCAGCAATCAGTGCTGTTTTCTGCTTTTTGTAGGGAAGAATGATGTTTCATAAACAGAAATTCAAGAAGTAAAAGATCTTCAAATTAACTTRTTTGATTTAAAAACTCTAAATAGCTTTTCACCTGACTATCAGGACAAAGAAATTCAAATTGTCCTTTGTCTACTTATTTATTACATACATACATGCATACATATATATGTGTGTTTATGTGTGTGTAATACTTTCTTGCTTTCAGTGACTTGATTTCATTTTCAGTCATAAAATTTCACTTTCAATCATAAAATGGGAAAAACATTTCAGTAACTCTGAAATGAAAGAAACAGAAACAAAGTACCGAAAATCTTTGTAGATTAAACTATTAGTTTAAGGGAAACTATAGAAATTTTTATGTTCTAAAACACCTTAGTCACAGTGTGCTATATCACATTTTTAGCATAAAATTAATGACTGTTATAAGGAATTAGCAATCGATTTATTGAATTTATACATCTAGTATGAACCTAATAAGAGAAGAAACATTTTTTATGCAATTGTTGATTTTCCCACAAGTTGTTTCAGTTATCTTTGAACATCTTCAAAAGTACACAGTATTCTTCTGACATTTGTGAAAGAATTGTTAATGGGGTGAAAACACAGATATAAGAAATAGGTCTTTTTTCCTGTCCTCTAAACCCAACTGAGCGATGCTGGAAGTGCTCTCCTCATCACATTCTGTTCCACTTTGTTCTGTATTCTTCTATATGCTTCTTAATAGTGTTACAGTAATATATTAAGAGAAGTAGGAGAGGAAAAGACAACTTTAGGAGTCTTGTTTTAGYTGTGATATCTCACAATAGTGTTATGGCAAAATCTGAGATTTAGGGCATGTGTAGTTCTGTAGAAGTAACTTCTCTGTGGATATGGAAAAAAATAATGAAGTATTATCATGGATTTCCTTGGGCTCAAACAAAAGGAATTTTGGGGCCTGGAACCTTCTATTTTTATGGGAATTTTAATTATAGCATTAATACTTATATAGCAGTGGTACTTAGGAAATGAGAAATATATATATATATAAAAATAAAGTCTGGGGAAAGAAAAAATCCAATTTCAGTGACAATCTTTGTTAATAGTGTGTCCTTAGCTCTTCCTCTTGCTTGGATAGTTGGATCAGTTTCACCCTGTAGTGATTTGGTATTGATCCCATTAGTTTCTTTTCTGCCTCTCCTTGGAGAAGCCGAGCAGTTTGCAATTGCCCCACGACAGGAGGGAGTGCTCTGAGAGTGTTTTCTGCCTTAGCCTCCACTGGAGCCACAGAGGCCTCTCCCCTTCACAGACTGAGAACTTTGGAACTTAGGAAGAAAATACAAGTGCCAGAATAATGCAGTGACCTGAAAGATCACTTGCTGAACAAGTCAAGCCAGCCTGAGCAATGAATGGGGAGAGAAAAAAACATGTGCTGTCACATACATTCACAACTTCTTTTCGGTTGAAAATGCAAAAGTTTTTCCTAGGCAGCAAGGATTGCAATGCTGTAAGTGATTTCTTGTTTAAAATGTTTCTGTCTGAACAGTAAAGGTCCACTCTCAAAGCTAGTTAGAGGTTTAGGATGCACAATTGAAAAGACAGTAGCAATTTCTTTCAGAAATCCTAGTTCCTCTTTCTAATGCATCTTAGGACATACGTACACTGCCTGTTCTGCAGTGACTTCCATTTATTCCTTGCATCTGAGTGGACTCTAAGCTGTATATTTTGATGTACAGTACTTTCTGGCCCCAGCAATATAAAACTTAATCTGGAATCATTTGTCTAGCTAATCTAAGCATTTTACAAAAGGCATGTGCGTAAGTTTCTTTTCGTTCAAAAATGCAAACTACCTCAAAAGGAAAGATTTARTTTGCTTAGTTTTATTCAAATCCATTGAGCCTTTTAGTTTTTTTCCTGATTGCTTGATACACATTTTAAGTTTTCAGAATCTAAAGCAATACAATGTATTAAAAATGTATTAACACATTTTACATTACATTAATACAATAAAAATGTATTCCTTGAAAATACTGAGATTCCAAAGAGAAGGATGATATCTGGAATATGAATTTAGTCTTGTCAAAATCTTTTTGCATTTTGCTAAACATCACACTTTTAGACTGATCAGAAAACTGCTGTTTTACTGTGAAATAAAATAGCTCCTTTAACAAACAACACATAGGATGAAAATAGAACACTCTGCAAAATAGAGTTTCTTTTTATGATAGGCACAYGTCTCTTGTGATTGTCTCATGTCGCTCTATAGTTCCCATAGTTGCATCATGTTTACTTTAGCTCAGATTGTTGGTTTCTCAGGTCAGAAATTTTATTTTTTTTGATGTACAAAATAGACATCTTTTCATAGCAGTATGGAAACAGTATTGATCGAGGTGAGAGCAAGATTTATCCTCGGATTTCTGGATAAGTGTCAATGTTCAGATGGTTAAGAAGAGACTTTTGTCAAAGCATTTGATCAACACAATTTCAATAAGATAATAAAACTGTKCCTGAAGAAATGGGCCATAGTGCACTTACATGACTATCATGAGAGTTTGGCGTAAACAAGTGGTGTATTACAGGTCTGAATTTCAGACATCAACCTGCCTTATATTTAAGTGATTTTTTTTTTTAAGTTGCCTCTTGTGACATGATAGTGTAGCTGCTGACATGGTAGCCATCAGAGAAACCTTAGCCTAGAAGAATCAGCTCTGTTCAGTCATGAGAGGGACACTTCAGCAGCTTGTAATTGGCAGATTTACTGTTTGTGCTTCATTTTAATGTATGTAGATATTAAGATGATGTGAAGTACAAAATATTAATATAAATAGTAATCAAATAAGTAATCAACTAGCTTTTATCTAATAAGCTGTCAACTGTCATCATTGGTCTTTTGCTTTCCTTAACTACCTTGTTTCACTGCTGTTTTTCACAGATTGGATTCTACAATGCTGTAGCCATTCCATGTTACACCACACTTGCACAGATCTTTCCCCCAACTGGGCCACTACTTCGAGCATGCAGGTGAGTACATGTGTGGGGTTTTACCTGACATGTAGCTCGGTTGAGGAAATAAGAAGCCTCTTCACAAGTCTATCTGGAAYTATATAGACCTTCCATTTTAGAATTTGCATGTAGATAGTCATATATACATATTGTTAATCTATCTGTAAACCCAAAGGTGATAACTACTGTCTGGGACTACCCAACATAGTTTGACAGACACAGCTGATCAAGATGTGTTTGATGCCAAAAGCATGTAGAGAGAAACAGGTTCAATTATTATGTATTCCTGTGTTGGCTGGTTCAGTGCAATTTCCCTTTGTATCCTTTTTACCTCAGTATTGTTCTCACAGCAAAGATTGGCTAGAAAAGAAGAATTCCATTTCATTAAAAAATGCTGTGGTTTTGGCATGTGGTTTTATTTCATGTCAGAACATTCATATTAAAAAGCAGAGAAAGAAAGAGAGCCCTAATTTATGTGTCTAATAATGAGACGCATAAGAGTAGTGCCACTGCAMTATGTGGCAGGCATGTGTAATTTTGCCCTTCCAAATCACTAAGGAGGTAGCTTGGGATCTTCTGCAGGAGAGAAGTGAGTCACCTTAACCAACTGGGTGCTTCTACCTGGGAATGATGTTCAAGCTATTTGTAGTTGATTCTGACCAATAATTATATCCTGCAGCTTAGCAATGGCAAAATGTCTTTTGGAACCAGTCAGCTTCATTAAAAAGATTCAGTTAATCAGGATTCTCTTTCTAAGGAAAAACACTTGATTGGTAAATGCTGACAATCTTCAGTCATATCCAGGGAGTGATTAACAGATCTGTTTACCCATGTTCTAACAAACATATCTCTCTCCTCTTCTTGCATTGAGGTTTTTCTTTATCGTTTATGGCAGCTCCACATAGTAACTTTCCTGACCTTCTGGGCAAAAAGATCTATATGAAATAGCAGAAGGATGCCCACTGTACACAAACACTGTGAAGTTTTGAGCTTTGCTTAGTTTCTGGACAATACTGGGATGTAAACTAGTCCTTACACGTAAAAACTCACAGTTCATCCCTCCAGCCCAATCTCTGCTGTCTTTTTCTTCCTACCTAAACAAGAAAATATTGTGTCCCTCTCAGATAATTTTTTTTAATTCTAAGAAATCCAGTGTGTCCTCGTCTTCTGCTCCTTTGCATATTGAGGTGAGGCCATCAATCACTTGATCATTATCCAGCCCTACTTCAGTTCCACCAGGTGGTCTTCTCTCTTAACCTTTTTTTTTAGTACTTGGAGAAATGTCACTTGAAGATATTAAAACAAGTCTGGATATACTGCTATAGGCAATATAATAGATAAAAGAGGTATGTGTTCAATGCATAGTTAGTGTGGTGAAGTTCCCAAGGCCTGTCTTTTCTTCCAGACAGTCAGACTTGATGATCCTTCTAATAGTATCTTGTATTCTGTGAAATTTTGAGAATAACAGCTTCTGGAAAGCAATAGGCAATAATTTGTTATCTGAAACTGAATAATGTGGTATAAAGTATTCATAAGTACATGTTTCAATGGTTCCATCACTTACAATATAGCCTTAAGCTCTTCTCTAGTTTCAAAGTGCTGCACAATATTATCATAGCGATAACAAATCCAAATCTTGTTTGGGAATTCAGAGTTACAGTGCYGGGTAGGAATGTGTACTCCCTGAGCCGTGCTGACCTAATACGTACTTGTTGATAGTTTGATTATAKATAATTGAATAAAGTGTACTCTGACAAATAAAAAAAACAGTTGCTTGTAGTGCCAAATCAGAGAACATGAAGTGAGCTATAGAACTACTTATAAACCTTTTGATCTTTACAAGGCCATGAGTCATCCAACAGCTTAACAGAGAGGTGTCTGAGGGCCTGAAAGTTCCCTTACTGCCATATTTGCAGTCCTTGCTTGAAGGCAAGCTGCTAAATGGTCTTCAGATGTAGTGATGACTGAAAACAAAATTTTGGTTAATTGGTCTGTATAACAGGAACACTGGTGGGGGACTTAGGGGCTGAGGCTCAGAGAGGCCCAGCTGAATGCTTAAGACTACACAATATGTTTTTCAGGACCCAGGGTTCTAGGAAGATGTTTCTTTTGATTTCTAGTCACATATCCAAATGAGGTTTATTTTCAAAAGCATCTTGTAAACCTGATGCCCACTAAACTAAGGAAATGGAAAGTTGATTTGTTGGATACTAAGCACCCACATAGATACATACTCTTGATGGAGGGTGCCTCATAGTTCTAATGAGCAAGCACAAGCATCTTTTCAGGAGCAGGTTTCTCTGCAAAGGGTGAGATGTCTGAGTAAATAGCAGTCAGACTCCTAGACTCCTAATGATTTTATTTATTTATTTTCTCTGAATTATGTGTATTGTTTGAAATTGCAGATATTATACTTCTGAAAGCTGCACTAGTGTAATCTAAACTAGTCACAGTTCTGTATAGTCAGAGCCTTAGCTACGTCTCCCCACCCTGCTCTTGTGTATTCCTTAAATTTAGATTGCAGTGATGCAGAACCGGTACATATGTGTGTGGATGGATGTTTAGGATATCCCTAAGTCTGAAGAGCTTCCTCATAAACTACACCCTCATGTAAGGTCCACTGATGTGCAGTTTCACAGTTTAACACCTCTGTCATTGAAATTACCTTTTGCAGGTCTCTCTGAAACTGTCTGCTAGAGCAAGTTGAGAAGAAGTGTTGAGAGTTGGATCCATGTTTGGAGAGACTGACTTAAAAGTTCCAAGAACACAGATCTAACTTTATATCCCTAATTATCAAAATACCTGTGTTTTTGTACCGTTTGGGTTATTCCAAAGTGTTTCAAATAGTTGAGCAGTTGAGCTACATGAGCTTTTTTGAGGGATAAATGACATTCTGTGTGATGAGACATTCAGCCTCATTCCTGTTTGATATTGCCTCAGGTACTGGCTGGGCTGATTTTGGTATCAGCCCTACACCGGTAGTGCTTGTTCTTGGAACGGAGTGTTAAGATGCCATGTCCTTGAGGTGTTTGGAGCACAGACACCAGCTGCAAATAATAGCAACAGAAGTAGCCAAGGCAGCATGTCAGCATCAAGGTTTTTATTTTGAGAATCCCTGGGTATTTATTCCAGACACTTAGGAGCCAGGGCTTCACTGGAAGCTCAAAGGCAAATGAATCGCATCATTTGTACCCTAAAGAAAAAGTAAAGAATATCGGTCTCTGGTTTCCATGAAGTAAGGTAGAATTTATTCTACGTTTTAAAGTTCTCTACAAAGTGCATATTTTCTTATTGAGAATTTTTTTTTCAATATATTGTGTATTTTGTGTTGACCAAAACTATCATCCACCTGTGTAATAGTTTCTGGAATAAGTTGGGGGCTTCTGCAGCCTGTAAACACAAGGGCATACCAAAGTGTCAGATCTGCTCAGGAAGTAAGATAAAGGATTTTTTTTTCTTTGTTCACATCAGCTATTAAACAATTTGCCATATATTTTCAGGTTTCTGAATTCTTGGTGAAATGGTTACAGTTTAAGAATATTTGGCTGCAGTTCTCCTTGTTATTGTGCCAGTTTCTGGAAAGGGACCTAGGGATAGTAACACTTGAGTTTTTCGCATCCTCAATGCCTGGTTGTGTTAGCTGAGATTCAGTGCCATATTAACCCTGGCTACATGACGCCTGGGGCACTGGCAGAAAACGTTTCCATCTGCCTTCAACAAATGATGTAGATGTTCCCCTAGAGGGCACCAGCTTCCTTTAGTAGACTCCTTCAAATCCTTCCTTCCCCCATCCCTAGCAGTAACATTTTCTCTTCTTACATGTTTCTTGTGCTTCCAGCTTATTTATTTGCTGTGTTTTATCAACTGTTTCAGCAAAGCTATGACACATAAATCAGGAAAGCTCTGCCACATAAATTCAGATGTAATACGACACATAGCATGTAAGGCCATAGTCATTTTACCACTCTGTTTATTTTAAGACACCAAAGACTTATTTTGGTAGCCACTAGATATTTGATTGTATGAAATTTAAATTGTTGAGCTTGCTCTCTTTCTCTCTGTGTTTGAAAGCTGAGTGCCAGATTTGGGCMACATGCTCTTGTATGGTCGACAGGCCTCTTTTCAGTGGTGGCCAGTGATAGGAGKAGAGGAAACGGCCACAAGCTGAGGCACCAAAAGTTCCACAGGAACTTGAGAAAACACTTTTTGACAGTGAGGGTGCCAGAGCACTGGAACAGGCTGCCCAGAGAGGTTGTGGAGTCTCCTTCTTTGGAGACCTTTAAAATCCGCTTGGACGCAGCCCTGTGCCACGTGCTCTAGGTGACCCTGCGTGAGCAGGGGGGTTGGACTCGACGACCTCTGAGGTCCCTTCCAACCTTAAGCATTCTATGATTCTATGATTATATATCAAAGATGTCTAAGGCACTGGAGTGAAAATGACTATACAGCAAGTATGATTATGGGTCTATATTCCATTCAGATCATACTGTCAGCTGAATGGCYTTATGGCTGATGAACCAAAATTTGGATTTAAGTGTTGGTCATCCTACAGGATGGAAACTTTTTATCTTCAGGAAAGGATAGTGTTTTGTGGTAGTAGACTTATCATGCGATCTGAAAGCTGATGTTGGCATGCAGCTTCTTATATATTGTCAGCCAGCTCGTRTGCAGGAGTCTCGGGAGGTTTTATGCATTTCTGTGGTTTCCAAGGAAGTTTCCTGCGAATTACTGATGATTTTGGAAAGGGGCAAGTAATGCTATTGTAAAATGCTTGAAGTTCTGTGTGAGGAAAGCTGTTCCTGAAACACTGCTGTTTCATGTTCTCTGCAGACATGGCACTCGAGTCTTGGTATCATTTTCTCTGCCACTGTGAGGGCTACAAATATATCTAATGGAAGCAGGTTCTAGACTCCTGCTCCAGCAGTGACTTGTTCTGGGGCCTATATGCCATAGGGGTGTGTGTGTGTGTGTGTGTGTGTGTGTGTGTGTGTGTGTGTATATATATATATACACACATATATATATAGCTAGCATGTATGTGAGCCAACAAGAGTTGCAAAATGTGACAATTACAAGGTAAAAGATCAAATAATATAGTAAAGATAAAAGCCTGATTACACACCAGTGTTTATTTGTAGCATAAAGGTACATCTGTAGCAATCTAGTAGAGGTGACAGTACTAATAGAAGAAATCCCAGTAAACTTACGAATAGTGCTTTACCTCTTGGCCTCTTTTGGCATTCACAGGGACAATCTCAACCAATGGGAGAAAGTGACAAGAGGAGAGGAGGCTTCTATATGGATTCCCTCGCAGTCCCTTGCTCCCGGGACCTCTGATTCGCTTCCYGTGAAGATTGATGACTGAACGGCAGCAAGAGATTGCTTTAACCCTAAAAACATCCTTTGGGGGTAGTTTCTTTTTGTTCCGTTTTGTTTTTATTTGAAGAAGGAAAAGGAAGAGCTACCAATGCGAACTAGGAAGGTAGCGCCCGCGGGGTTACCTCAGCTAATGACTCTGGCAGCCAATCTCCTCCCCTACACCAGTGACACAGCACGGACAGAGGGAGGGCGACAACCACAACCGGCCGTCTGGGATCTGCTAGSGAGAGACAACTTCCAACTTGGGAATACAAAAGACTGGCCTTCTCTCATGGGCTACAGTGCTGAGGCCTTAATTTCAAACTGAGGGGGGAAACAATCTTAGGGGGTACTTCTAAATTGTATCTTTCTAGTAAGGGTTTCAATGGTACTTTTATTATACTGTACTGTGGCTGGCTTTAACACCAGTGTCACTTGGGAGTTCTTGGCTATAAATAGAACAATATACCCATTGCTATTGTGAATGTTTGTGTGATCTACTTGTAATCAGTTTGAGCTCTAGCAGAATCCCTGGAAACTGTAATCCTTGTTTAGGTTACAGTGATTTCTCTTGCTGTAAACTAAAGGAAAACCAACATTCAGGTTCAAGTTCTTCATTAAGCACCATGATACAACTTGTCACTTGCAAGATAAATGTTGCAAGAGCTGGTGGTGAGGTTTTGTTCATCAAAGAGATTTAGAAACCCAGACCACTCCTCCCTTAAACACTGGAAGTGCTGGATATTTATCTCCGACAAGGAGTGGTGTAGGCATAGTTTCAGGCTGGAGATTTTGTATATGAAGTGACAGAAGTATCAGTCTAAAATTTGAATGTGACAGCAAAGATTTTCTTGCGTAACTCACTGATAAGTAAAGTCATCATGTTTATTTCTACCTGCTGAGCTGTATTTTAAAAGGTATTAAGAGACATACCTAAAGTATGTTATCTGCTGGGGACAGGAGCCATGTTAGAAAAGTCAGGTCTAGTAAGGAGGACTGTGGAACCATCACAATAAATCAAAAATGTTTTTGTACTGACTAGCTTTTTTGTGGCACAGTAACACTGCATGCCTTCTACTGTTCTACTGCTTCTCCCCTTAAAGAATTTGTCCTTTTTCCTTTTTTTTTTTTTTCCCCTAGTTGAGAAAAATATTCAGGCTTAGTACTGCCTTTTTCAATGAGAAAATAGCTGACTAAAAAAAAATAGTACTCTGAAATACTGTGTCTACAGTTCTGTGCTGACGTAGGCATCAGTCTTACAGACTTATGCGCAGAATTTAAGACCTTACATTTAATGCCACTCTTCTGACTTTAGTGCAATTGTACAAAATATGTTTCAACAACATTTAATTTGCCTTCACCTTTCTCTTGAAAATAGTGGAAAAAAAAAAAACATACTGATCTGCACGGTGATTGAAAACACACTGTCTTTGCATAACTTTTCACATACAGCCTATACTGCATTATATGCTTTTTCACAGGTAATAGTCCTGTAGTGGTTCCATGGTAACATGGCCATTTGTGTAACTGCAAGTAGTAATAGTAGTGATTTAAAGACAGAATGCAGGTTCTCGTTTTCCATGTCATGTCTGTTAAGCTGTATTGCTCTTACAAGCATGCCACCTTATATTTTCATTAGAATGACTTGGACTTTTGAGTTTTGCCTTTTGTTATGGTCGAGCACATAAAATATCTGTTCATACATATGTACAGTATGTGATGTATAATCACATAATGTATAAATGCACCTAAGCCTTTGCAGTACATGGATATCCCAGAAGTTGAGTTCAATATTAGGTTACCTTATTTGTGTCATGCAGGTTACCCAACAGCAGCCCCACAATTCTTTTCAATTTGCGTTGCCACTTCTAAGTGCAGAAATTCATTGTTAGCCATAATTAGCTATTTTAGGATAAAATATGTGTATATTTATATATAAGGAAACAATTATGCCATAGTAGATAGAACAGTGTCTACATRTTATGTCCTCTGCTTTACTCCTGAGCAGCTCCGATGTAGTTAAATCATTCAGGTGAAACTTTACAAATGCTAAGTGCTTAAGACACAAATCCATAGTGCATTTTGAAAGCATCCAAATCTATGGGGACTACAAAAACATTATTTGGAATTTAGTTAACCCAAAAACTCAACTGAAAATTTTTCATTCCTGACTTTAAGTATAATTGCTGTTATTCTCCATCCTCCTGGAATGCTGATCTTACCGGGGTTGCAAAATATTTCTTGTTACACTGTGTCTGTATTATGGAAAGACTTTGATTAATCTTCTAGTCACTGACAGTTTTGATGTCTCTAAGTACAGATACAGAACAGACTTCCGTAACATTTATCAAATTGTCAGTCAGTTGTTCTGTTAATGTCTGAAAGTTTTGTTCCTAAAACGAATCTATCCTGACCACTCAGAACATGTAGTTGCTATAATCTGGTGTCCATTGGAAGTAAAAAATTCGTTTCCGATGGTTGGGAGTTTGATTTGTTTTTCTTGTGTATAAAAGGAGGAAAGTTAAAACTAAAAGTTACTACCTTTTAGTTCCCGGCTAAACTAACAAGAACWGCATAACAGGCTATGTTTTCTAAGTAAACTCAGTCTGTCTTATCACTTATGTAGTGCAGATTCAGAGATGTAATAGAGATGTAATTTTTTCRGTAGAAACAAACCTAAATGAGCACTTCCACAGTCAAACTCACCAAACATTGAAACTGTGAAGCTGCATTTGAATTTCATGACTCAAGACATGTTGAGATTTAATTGTCCAAAATTCTGGACTTGCACGCAGAGCAGAAAGGCATCTGGCTTATCAAGTTAAACTGCCAAATGTGATTCCTCCTTGTATTTTTATGCAGCTAAAATTGATGATGCACGGAATGGATAAGAATGCATAAAAACCATAAACAACTAACGGACCTACTTTCCCTAGAATACTTTATGGGACTTTTAAACTCCCAGAACAACAACATTTTTATTGAACTTGCTTTTTGAAAGGGAATTGCTTTTCCCTTTCAAGCCAGTAAAGAAAAAAGCCATTTAAAGTCAATTCTGGGAGTTTCTAATGTTTTGTTAAACAATACCTGAAGGACAGTTATTAAGTGAGAAAAACAGGTGACACAGGTTCCAAGAGGTTGCATATTTTATAGCAGTCCTGACAGAAACTGCATTGTTAAAATTAAGCTATGAATTCTTTAAGGCAGTACAAATTTCAGCTGTAATGATTCCACTCAATGCAGTAATACTTGTAAATTTAATTCTTTCATTACAGAAATGCATTTTTAAAAAAACTTTTTAGTGGTGGGAGTGTATGCTAAAATATATTTACATTGGAGGGGACATGCAGTATTAAATTTATCTTTTAATGGGGCACAGACTTCTTTCACGTGTTTAAACTTAGAACAGTGTGATCAATTTGCTGTGACTACATTTAGACCACTTAGTGTTAAAATTATAGAGATAGCATGTAGCACTATTCATGTTAAAGAAAAAAAATGCAGAGGTTGTTAGATGCTCAAAACAATTTTGACCCACTTGAAATAATGCATTTGCCTCAAACACTGTGATATATTAACAGTTCTGTGAAGTGGTACAACTCTTGGTCATCTAAACACAGGAAGTGACTTTCTGCCCACTAGTACAATGAAGTTCCTGTTTAAAGCTTAGATTATATATCCCGATCTAGCAAAGGCACATCACAACTATTCTATTCTGCTTTCTGACCTAAAACTGTGCTCGATTGTAATACGGGTGTATACTCTATGAAAAAAAAAACAAAAACAATGGACTGCTTTCTAGAGTAGATCAAACTGATTTGTAGAGTAGATTCATATATATTCAAACTTCAGGTTGGGCTGTTTTGTGAAGAAAGAACTTCAAGGTAACAACATTCAACTTTACTACATTTAGTGAGCTGAAGAAATTGTTTTATATATATATATATTTACATATATATATATATATGATACATATAAACTATCTTTGTAAAAAAACAAATATGCAAGTGCAATAATTTAAAGAGGTCTTAACTTTGCATTTATAAATTATAAATACTGTACATGGTGTGTAATTTTTTTCATGTATTCATTTGCAGTCTTTGTATTTAAAAAACAAACCTAAACCTTTACTATTACGTTTGTACAATAGAACAGTAAGCATTTATTATGAAATAGTTAAGTTGTAAATAAATTCACAAACCAAACAGCCAGTACATATGCATATATGGGTGTCCTATTGTGAAACCTGTTTTTGCTTTTACTGCTGGCTTTAGCACAGCAAGACTACTTCTGTGGATATGTAATTATACATATAAATATATGTATGATACATAAAATATATTTAGAAATGTTCATAATTTTAATGGATATATATACATATACTTTGGTGTGAATATTACTGAATACAGAGTTTTTTTAATATTATTTTTCATGTTTATTTTTGCTGTTATTGGGCGTGGAAGTGAGGGATGGGAAGTCAGTGTGTATGTGTGTGTGCGCGTATGTGTTTGTATACCACAAGTAAACCACAGGGGAATGGAATCAAAATGTAATGGAGTCCTTTGAAAAGGTGGTGCCTGTTTTTTCTCTGTAATTGCCGTTTACCACTTTTGGTGCATTTTCCCAACATAAATTCTTTTTGTCTGTCTGTCTGTCTTTCCGTCTGTCTTCCTGTTACAATATATCACCTACAGCACGTTCACTTGTCATAAATTCCGGAAAATTCCACGTTGCCTTTTGCTCTCCTGCTGCTAGAGACCTTACCTTGTTGGTGACACTTTCACACAAATGACACAGATCTCTGCTTTGCCACTGCAGAACTGGTATGAAGCTAATGCAGGATCAGTTTGTTATCTTCTGGAGATTAGTGAGCAACATAGGCAGATGCTGAAAGAATAATTTGTTTTTATTTAATTACTTTTATAGGTGTGCCACTCCAAAGGGATACAGGGCTGTGACAATTATCGATACCCTGGAAATTCAACATTTATAAACAAAAAATCAGCAAGTGCATTTGGGAAAAAAATCTTCCGTGTGGTTATCTAGCACATAGGTTTGGTCCGAGGATGCCTTGCATCCGGCATGCTCAGTAAATAGATTATTTGCCCTTCATGGCCCTCAAGGTGTTGTGTCTTTATGGCCCCTACTA